TCTCTCCATTAAGCTTGTTACGCCAATGTTAGCCCAGAACCAGATTGCGGGTTATTCTAATTTTGCAACCCTTAGGCTAACTATTTTCTTAGTTTTAATTAATTCATTATCTTTAAGCTATAAGTGTTGTTTTTGTAAGCACGAGTGGTGCCGTCTGTTAACTTTATTTGTTTGATTTTTATTTGATTTAAAAGAGTCCTTTACACTCTTTCTCTATCTCTAATATGTACGTACAATGCATAGTGATAATTCATTTTGGTACGTACAATGCATAGTGATAATTCACACATCGTTTTATGCTTGGACAGGAAACGAAATGCTATGCCGCTATTAATAACATAATGATAAGTAACTAAATATTTTTTTTAGTATCTAACAAAAAATTATTTTATTAATTCTTTAATACTATTCTTAAAATTTACGGAAAAATAATGCAGTTTGCTCTACATGCATTTAAACATGCTGAGGAAAACCTTTCTAGTATATTCCGGCTGCATCTAGAAGAAATTCGATCTGCGAGAACTTCAAAATGAGCTTGTGAAATGTGTTAATAATAATAATTATTATAGTGTTTTGGGAAACGAGTTCCAGGAGTAGATGCTCTTTTACCTGCAAACTTTTGTTTACCGTATTTCTTTTAAAGATTATGCATGACACATATATTTTCATTTTTTTTAAGTTTCTTACTTACTCATTTTTAAAGTTTATTTTAATTTATTAAACGCAGTGAAAGAAAACCTCTTCGACATGTTTATTGTTTTCATTTCACGGATTTTGCATCTTGACAAGACAGGAGGGAAGTATTTGCTGAAAGCCGTGTGGGCAAGCGATACATTGGAGTAAATGTACAGTTATATCTTGAATAACTAAGTCTTGTCTTTATTTAATTAGTAAGTACACGAGTTTCATGAGGTGTTAATGTGCAATGAAATAATATTATAACAATTCGTTTTTTAAGCATTTTCCTTTGCCATTTTAAATATGCAGCATTATGCTGTATAGTTTTCAAATTTTTAGATCTAATTCTTAGACTACAAGGCCAATCGTAACTGCTTATTTAAAACTGCTTCAGGTATTAAACTGAAATCTGGATACCAAGATCAGATTGCAATTTAAACTGAAACCTGAACATCAAGATCAGATTGCAATTTAGATTTAACTTTATATTTTTATTTATTCTTTTTCTTAAATTTGAATGACAGATAGTTTGAGGGGTCAGACTATAACCGAAACGTTTGCTGCAATACTTTTATTGCATTTAGTTGTTATATATTCATAACTTCTTTTTGTTTTATTCAATATTAACCCATTATCTATCTATTCATTTATTTGCCTTCCTGACCGGCCTTATATTGTACTTCTGCAGACATAATTTTAGAAACTAAAACCTGTTTCTAAAATGGTATAAGACATAACGACGAAAAAAAAAAAAAAGAAACGAACGAAATAGCAAAATAAGTGAAAAAATCTGATGTGTGCACCACATGACTTCTGAAGAATAAAATGACGTCTTCTATATACATGACAAACATTTATTTTAACTATGAAGACGTTGAACAGCAGAGTAGAAACATAATATTACACAGACAGCGCTTTGCACTTCTCTCTTACATGCAATACTCACCATTGACTTTTGGCTAACTCCATACTAAGTATAAGTATTACGCAGCAGAGAACTTGCTTATCATGCGCATGCGCTAGGGGAATCGACGGCGGTTGCCAACAACTTCCTTGTACGGAATATTAAATTATACCCATTTTTTCTTGCATTTCATTTAAACTTATTGGATTGAATTAAATCTACTTCGTCGACAGCGCATAAACCACAATAGAATAAATGCACTCTTTAAAATTCACTATATTCGTTCACCATAGCGACACTCTGGTCCTAGATTCATTTAACAGCGTTACATTTCATTAATTTTTTAACTCAGAATGCACAAAATTTATATCATCTTAAGAATTATCTAATCGTTGCCGCATGTTCTATTCAAATACTATAATAAATCTAAAACGATGTGTAAAAGAAATTATTCAAAGAACAACAAAAAAAAATTAAAAAATAAATAAAAAATAAAAAAAGATTCAGTTTTTCACAGACGATTCAGTATTTCTCATACAATTCATTCAGTTCTCACTTCGCGACAAGGCAAAAATACATTAAAACTCAAGATGTCTGTATTGAAAATTATGAAGTAAATCTTAAACACTTATTTCCTCGAATAAATTCCAGAATGGATTAAGCGTGATTTAATTCACAAAAATAAAAGAAGGCGTTATCTTTGTTACTGCGAAGCTTACTTTCTCTAGATTGGCAACAAATCCACTATTCTGCTGTTTCAAACGTAAGCAATGGCCGCCATGGAAAAAATTATTAGGCTTAGCGGCACTTAAACAATTTTTAAATTGCTGATAATTCTAAAAATATTGCATACAGATTTATCAAAGGCATAAAAACCTTAACCGGAAGAGAAGAACAACATAATTCAATCATTTTTTTGGCTGTCAATGAATGAACGGTTGTCGCTACAGCGCATCTGATCTGTGCAACTGACAGGATATTTAAGAGGAGAAATTACTATTCCAGGTCATTCTTGACGACTACCAGAGTACACGGAATGAAATCTCGAGAATTTCATTCCGTGTACTCTGGTAGACAGTAACTATGCCTCGCATACAAGTGCGCGAATGCTATGCGTAGATGTCAAAATTTGAGAGAGGTCGTGTAGAACCATGGCCGCACACAGCGTCAAGAAGGAAGCGGTAGGACTGGAGAAACGACAGAACGTGAAGAGGCGAGCAATCGTCAGAGCGGCATTCACAGCCCCAGTTGCTTCATTATCATCCATTGCACGTGCAATTAGTGCTTCAGTGACCGTAAGGACCATTCATAGATGGCTCACAGAAAAGGGGCTGAGGTAACGGCGCCCCTTGCGCTGACTGCCATTTACCTTTATACAACATCAAGCCCGTTTGCAGTGGTGTCGGGCTCATTCGCACTGGAATGTCACTGACTGGAGTAGAATAGTCTTCAGTGATGAGTCCCACTTTGTACTGAGCCCCGATGACTAGCGAAGGCGAGTCTGGAGACGCCCCGGACAGCGGTGTGATACCAGCCTGACTGCCTTCCGGCAGACAGGCCGACAACCAGGAGTGATAGTCTGGGGTGTCATCTCATTTCATAGTAGGATCCCTTTGGTTGCCATCCGTAGCAACCTTAGAACACAGCGGTTCGTCGACGAAGTTCTAAGGCTCGTTGTGTTGCCCTTCATGTCACGCCACCCTGGGCTTACAGTTCAGCAAGATAATGCCCGTCCCCACACTGCATTACTTCTTTCCTTAGTGCTTGCCGAACATTACCTTGGCCAGCAAGGTCGCCGGATCTCTCTCCTATTGAGCACGTTTGGAGCATTATGAGCACGATCCTCCATCCAGCTCGGGATGTTGACGATCTAATGCGCCAGTAGGACAGAATTTGGCCCGATATCCCTCAGGAGGACATCCGCAACCTCTATCAATCGATGCCAAGTCGAATAACTGCTTGCATAAGGCCTAGAGGTGGACAAACGCGTTACTGACTTTTTCACTTTGCGAAGCTCTATCACTTCAATAAATCATCCAATTTTTCTCAAACTGTAATCATTTGTTTTTCTGCACATGTACATCACTTTTACCGATTTTCGTCCAATTCGAATAACTCTTTCTTGGTGAGTCTTTTTTTTTTTTTTTTTTTTTTTTGTTTTGTGTGTGTGTGTGTGTGTGTGTGTGTGGGTCTAAAAGTGTATATATACATATATTTATATATTTTTGGTGTCCCCGATTGCAACCAAAATACAAGGTGCACATCTACATGTTATAGCAGTCCTATATACAAAATTTCAACGCTCTGAAGCTACTCGTTTTTGAGCTATGCGAGATACATACGTATGTACGCACAGACGTCACAAAAAATTCTCTTTAGAATTCATTTTAAATTAGTTTTACAATTTTTTGGGGGGAAAAGAGTCCTTTATCGTGTCCTTAGGTACAGATGTCATGCAAAACATCGTTAAATTGCATTCGATAGCGGTGAAAATGGATATTTGCGTTGAAATATGATGCCTGAAACTTTTTGCGATCACAATACTTCCTTTTTACTTCGTACAAGGAAATAAAAACGAAAAGCAAAATAAATTGGTAGCCTACTGTTTTCAGTTAGATAAGCAGGGCTTAATTTCTAAAATTAGAAGTGACAGGAGCTCTATGGAAGACCGTCAGCAAAGAAGAACAAAAGTAAATAAATAAATAAAATGACTATTAAAAATCATTAATATTTAAAAAATTAAATAGTTCATTATTACGAAAGTAATTATTATTTAATTTATTTTAATAATTAGTATTTATCAATTATTATTTAATTAATGATTATTATTTAATTAAATAAAATTAATTAATTATTACTATTAAAATAGGTAAATAATTAAATAATTTTATAAATAAATAAATCTGCTACGTAAACGCCGGAGCCTTCTTATTTAGGGCTCCGGTGCGCTCTGACTAGAATTATGATTTATCCCAAAAACTAAGAAGTACCGGCGCAATTTAAGCTCTGTAGATAAAAATAAAGAATTAAATTTATTCTAGCAGTTTGCCATGCGTTAGATGTACCGAAAGCTCTGAGTTGAGTATTATGTTTCACACAGTTTAGGAAAGATTAAGAATTTTAAATCTGAAATTGTATCTACCGTTTCATTTACAAATTTGAAGCCGCTTTCAGGGGCTTTTAGTAGTCAAAGCTCTGGCGCCATCTGTTGCTTAAAATGTTTACAAAACTAATAGCATTAATAATACTAAGGTTTATGAGACGCGTTTAACAAGTTTTCACTCATAAAATTCAAAGTTATGGTGCCATTTGGTGTCTAATATTTTAACTAATTTATAAAACTATAAAATATGTAGAGAGAAAAAACAAATTCTAATTTCTGTTACTTTATAAGGTATAATTTTTATTTTCCCTACAGCTAGACATCAGTGTGGTAAGCCAATTCATCGAAGATCAAAAATCATTGGTGGTGAAAATGCCGAAAAAGGAGAATTTCCTTTTCTAGTAAGTTAGAAATTTAAAGATTGTAAAAACATTTTTGCTTATTATGTTTTCCTAATCAATGACAGCAATAAGAATTAAATAAACCTTTTCTGAATCTCTTCTGGAAACATTAAACTAAATTCTTTGCCGTATGTAAAACTATGATTAAAAAATTTACATTTCCAAAAACTGCTGACAATTTTTAATACAATATTTAAACATCATGAGAGTACTATAGTTTCTTTTTAAAATGCTGAACCAAGATCCTAAACAAAACACGCGTACCGAGCTATCACTTTCTTTTACAACTAACATCATTTTAAGGCGGCATTTTGAAGTCTTTCAAAAATAAAAAATTCAGTGTTTCTGATGGACGCCCCATTGCTAATTATTAAACCTAACTTCGAAGCATACTACTCGGAATTTCAAAAGTATACGTTCTTATAAAAATTCCAAATGATTCTTATTGTCGCCTGTCTTATGATAGCACATTTATTTAAATTTACGAAGTTCTTTCGCAATGTTTAACGTTTTCCTTTATGTGATATTTGAAGAAGTCTCACTTTAAAATATTTTGCTTGCCAGAAGTATGAGCAAATATTTATACAAGTATTTCTTAAAAAAAAATCTGAAAGTTTTCAGATTTCAACGGTCGACCAAAAGGGTTTGGTAAGGTTTCCTACGCTCTCGCTGCGCTCGCAGTCAACCAGGCTGCTGTTACACTAACTCCTACTAATCCTCCCCCCCCTCTTTAGCTTTATTAACCAGCATCATTTTCTTCGATTTACGCCACATACAATTCAACACCAAAATTACAAAAATTTTAAAAGCAGCATAGCAGTATACGATTAGAATTTCGGATGCAGCGTTAAGTGTTGGCAGATATTTTTCTATTCCCCCCCCCAATTTTCTATTTTTTTTTTTTTTTTTTTTTTTTCTTTTCTCAGTTCATCGCATCTGTGTTCTAACTAACTAACTATATCAATGTTCTTACTAAAAGATGGCCTTACAAAACTCTTTTTTTTTAATTTTTATTATCAACATTTTGTGTGTTTTCTTTATTTATTAAATACCACGTTCTTGGCGCTTACGCCACATGACATTCCATTAAACAGCAAAGTCACAAAATATTTAAAAACAGCATATCTTTAGAATTTCTGACAAACAGTCTCGCCCGCTGGAGAAAAAAAAAGTTTTTTTTTTCTACACAGTGCACAGTGTTGTCACTAATTGCTTTGTAATCGTTGAATTAGTTAATCAAAAATTCGATAAATTTTTAAAAAATATTGAATAGATAATAAAATAAATTCAAAGTTCAAGCTTCCAGATGCCCATGTTCGGAGGGTGGAGGACTACTTTATTCAAAACTTGATGGCTCTAGGGACCGTTCACTATGCGAGAAACATACATACATTCATGTAAATTGTCATTATTTAATTTCTTTAATACAGGGCGATAATATTTGGTGGCAACAATTTGAAAAGTGATACACCGTTACACCGTTTAAAGTGATTCAGCGTAAACTGGTGTTTCGAGACTAATATAATAAAGTTCCTTACGGGCTAATAAACATTTTGAATTAACATATCAAGGGATTTTACTTCAGGGAAAAAAAAAAAAAAAAGAAAGAAATATGTGAATACATGAACAAAGAGAAAAAGCGATTTAGATTTAATGTAATAATAATTTAGATTTAATGTAATAATAATTTAGATTTAATGTAATAATACATTTAATGTAATAGTAATTTAGATTTACATGTAATATACATTAATGATTAATTAATATATAGATATATAGATCTATAGATAATATAGATCTATAGATAATAGATATATTTTATAATTATTTTTAATATTGAACGCCTCTATGCTTGTTAAATATTAAGCATTTAACATTTTAGCATTTTCAAGTTAACTTATTTGCAGTTTATTTTTTAATTCAAAAACTTCAATAATATTTCATGTCTTAAACAAATAAGGAAAAAAATCTTAATTGCTGAAAGTATTTTTTTATTATTATTTATATTTTAATTTGGACCTTTACATTAAGAAACTTTGGATGGAATTACATCGTTAAGGTAAATTGGTAAGAAAATTAATGTGCTTCCGAATATTCTGTGTAAGACAAATCCTTATTAATGAAAGGAAATTCGAAGTATTTAAATAATTTTTTCACAATTCAATATTAACTGATTTTGAAATTTATGTTATTAATCGTAATTTTTTTTAAATTTCATTAAACTAATTAATTCAGAATTTAAGTTTGCATTTTGACTTTCCAGTATTAAAATTTTTTTTATTCTTATTACTTTATTTCTTATTTTTAAAGTAAACTTTCTAGTATTCTTATTTTCAAAGAAAAGCATCTTATCTACAATTAGTAATCTTGTCAAATATACATTGATCAACAAACTTGCAATTTTGTAGGGCATAAATTTACCACAGTGTACAAGTAAGAAAATACGAAAAACTGAAATGTTCACTGCAAATAAACGACACGAGTTGTCAACAATTTGCACATAATGTTTCCTTTTGTTGCCTTTCTTAATGTAGATTTTAAAAAATATCTGATGTGGACACCACATGTTTTTCTTATACAGCCTATTAAATTATACACATTTTTGCTGCATTTCGTTTAAACTTATTTCTTCGAATTTGATTAGAGATATATTTCTCATTCAATCAATTCAGTTCTCACTTCGGGGCGGCATTTTTTTTTTTTTTTTTTTTTTTTTTTTTCGTGAAACAATATTTTACGGGGGGTTAGTCGGGTGTATATTCGAGGCAGGCGAAGAATAATTAGATACCAAGTTTCCATATGGAATTAAATTAACAAGAAAAGAGCTCTTACTCTAGTTTAAAGTATTCAAAGAAACCACCACGTGATTTCTACATGCTTTTGTTAGAACTTTCCTATTCCGTCGAAACTTTTGAATGCAAATTATGAATATCAAACAAATTATGATTACGGTGGCATTAATAAGAAAGAATTCCTAGTGAAGAAAGAAGTATTTCAGAATTTGATTTCCGTTGTTGCTTTGGAAAATCGAATGGGAACGTGGAAGCTCAGTTCATTTGAATTTTTGTAATTTATTTAAAAATAGAATTCCAGAACAAAGTTCCAGATATTGTAATGCTAGTCCGAACTTTCTTTTCGGTTCCTGTAACTGTTGTTAACTGTGAGAAGAATTTTCTAAATAAAATTTATTTAAGAAGTTTTTAAGAACTACAAATGTATATTTTGCCTTTCTCTCTTACTGCTATCTACATAACAGCAAAATCAAAATGTCGTTGATGAGTTTGCGAACAACAACACAAGCAAAATAATAATATAATTTTTAAAATGTTGAACTTAAAGTTTTTCTTCAGAAATAGATGCAAAGTTTTCATTTGCTTCCCTACATTTAGTTTCAACACTTTTTTTTTTTTTTTTTAAGTTATTTGTGTGCATATCAAAAGGGGCGACAAATTTAGGGACCGCTCCAGGTAGCAAACTCAGCAACAGCCCCTACTCTGCTGTGTATCATCTGATGATCTTGCATCAGAAGAGAACAGTACATTCCTGTTCCGTCAGAATTGAGGGAAACGTTAGTAATAATCAATTTGCTATTTAAATATATATAGTATAGTTTCCCAGTTCTTTCTGGTAGAGTTACTAAAAACCCGTGATTCCTGGTACGCATTCATATCCCAATACATAGGTTCGATTAGCTAATTAGACAAAAGAGGGAAATATTACCTGTCTAAAAAAAAGAGTAATTTCACGGAGGACTTTTTGTACGAAGGATATATAGAGGACTTTCTGAATGAAACTTGCTCTTATTCGAGAAGCGTCTAGATAAAAACATATTAAAAGCATATAAAGTAAGCATTTTCTGCTGTAGGCAGGACTGGCGATAGACTTTTTGCTGCCCAGTGCAAACGCCGCAAATCCAAAATTCTGCCACCTGATGCAGGCGGCACTATCAGTCCTGGCTACAGGGAATCGAATTCAAATCAAAATTATCATAATGTTACGCAGCTTTTACAAATGAATTTCTCGTGAACTATCTAACAATGAAACTGATACTTCGGAGAAATATTTGAGCATTTAAAATACCTCAGAATACGTGTGAAGATTGTAATTTGGAGGAAAATAACTACGAAGAGCGTTTCAAACCCAAGTTCTCCGAGAATCATACAAATTATAAAACAGGTACGCAAATATGAAACCTCTACATAGATTATTAAACGCCTATGCTTTTCAATAAAAATCAATAATGATTTTTTTAAACCTATGAATTTTGACAAATATCTGCTAAGTTCTGGTGCTCAACGTGCCAAGAGAATAAACTAGACACTATAAATGCAGCAGAATTATGAATTCACAAAATTAATAATTAAAAAAATTTGTAACTGTTAACTCTGTAATGCGGCAGTTACAGAAAAATGTGCTCTTAACGGGTTTATAACCAATGCAGAATAAATTTAAACCATCGAAAAGCCCTTTATAGAACTGGCAATTTATGCAAATAAATTAACAATTATTTTAATTAAAAAATTTTTGAACAATACCTTTTTCGATGATTTTTAGCCAGATACATTTTTAAATACTATAGCAATTCAGTAATGAATTATTGAGTCCTAAGTAAATTTTCCTTTTATTGCAGATTTGTTCACCGACAAACCACTCTATTATACAGAAATTTAAAACCGTAGAGATATTCTAGGCAGAATAATATTTAACAGTTAATATGAAAAACACTAATAAATAGTAGGATAAAATTTTGATTTTAATACAATCAGTCTTCCTTTTAAATTATTAAAAAAAAAGGAAAATATAGAGCCTCCCCCCTAAAAAAAGTAAAATGTCCATAGTTAAATCATTCTAAAGTTACTCTTCCCAAAATTAATAGTTATCAAATGATTTCTCTATAACGCATATGATGGATACGTACATAATGACAAAGGGGAAAATCAAAACATTTATATGCAATAATATCAAAACCGAAACTTTTATTAATAATTAATGGTAATAAGGCGATGTGCGAAATTAAACAATTTCAATATTTCTTTACATAATACAGCAAGATACTATTCTCTTTTTAATGCTTCCTTTGCTGTCTGGGTGCTTGCATTGTTTTATTGTATTTTATTACTATATAAAGTTTAAAGCAAGAGGACCTGCAAGTCACTGATGCTAATTATGGAAAAAGAAATCATAAGCTCTTGTATCTGATCTACTTCACATTACCGAAATTTTATCCACATTATGTATATTCAATCTAATAAACTGAGTATTTGTAGTCATCGATTTACCTCTCTTCATCGATTCATCTACCCTTCGTATTTATAAAAGGATAATATATATTAACTTCTAAATTATAAGAATAAAATCTTTCAAGAGCTTTATTATAATCAAACTGAGAACATCAAATTTCACTCATAAATATTTAATGGATACAGTTCTTAATAACCGTACGGTTTTAAAAATATTAGTAATGGTGTGCAGCCTTTTAATAATAATAATAATAACGATAATAATAAATTTTCAATAATGATATGAGGTTTTTAATAAATGTCAGTAAAATAAAAATTTTAGAGGATATTTTCTTTTGCACCTCATTTTGTTTTTATCCACTAATTAGATTCCCAAATAGGAAGACTGCAGGTGGAAAAAAAAATCGTTTTCAAACAACTTATTGTTTTCAACGTCTATATTGAAATCTTTATTGGCATTAATACTGTTTATTTAAATATTTATTTATTAAAATCTTTGAATTGAAACTGCTAATGTCTACTATTCTAAGAATTTTACTAAAGAATAAATATAAATTCTAAGAATTTTACCTTGGTTAAGAGCATTTCCACGTAATTATGTTCATATGGGGAGTGTTTTAAAAAAAGTGCCTTATTATATTATATAAAAGAAAAATGTAAAAAGAAGTATGGATTTTTTTTTACCACGTACCTTGTTAAATAAATATTCGGCAAAAAATATTCCGTTGATTACACGTCAGACGTTTTTAGCAAAATAGTACCTCCCCGGCCGGGAATCGAACCCCGGTCTCCCGCGTGACAGGCGGGGATACTGACCACTATACTACCGAGGACTCGATATTCTTTGCCTAAAAACTGGAAGTGTAGATAAAGTACACGAAAGCAATTTTTTCACTCTTTCGACTGTTACAGAAAGATAAATATTGTGCTTCTGTGCGCAATATAAGTTGACTACAAACGTGCAATACATTTCTAAGGTTATTATTTTAAATCACAGCACTCTAATTAGTATAGTAGTTCATAGTAATAGCTTTTAATTTCCAACAAAATAATAATAATTCAGAAAAAATTCAAAATAATTCAGGAAAATTCCCTGTGTGGGTTGCAACAATTATCAGGGTTACCATATTCTGGCGCATGTAAGCTCACTTCCGATGTAAACAAATCCGCAATTTCGCCAAGTGCCGGTTATGGAAACAAAATTTAGCCTATTATAAATAGGCTAAATTTTAAACGAAACAAAAGTTGGAAATACGTTTCGTATGTTATCAGAGGAAATAAGAAACAATACCTTAGGATAATACGAATAATACAATTAATATATAAATATTTTATTATTTTTTTCCTTCTTTAATAATTTAATTTATCGTTAGCGTTCAGGGGCGTAGCTAGAGGGGGGCAAGGGGAGGCATCTGTCCCCGGGCGCAGAACCCAAGGCGCGCCAAAACTGATGTTACGACATTTTAGAATTAAATATTTTCCATCCTTGGCAAGCAGTAGGGGGCGCGAAATCTTCAGTTGTCCCTGGGCGCTGAAAACCCTAGCTACGACTCTGGTTAGCGTAATTACCGTCTTTTATAATTGCGACTTCTAACTGTAAGAGAAATAATCCTACTTGGTGGCTTTTTTTTTGACAAAGATTCGTCATACGTCAGTTGACCAAGATTTTAACGGTAGCCCCAAATGGTTTGTTAAGATTTTTTACGCTCTCACTCAACATTTTTTTTTGTCTTTTTAGCTTTATCAGGCATCATTTTCTCGGCACTTACGACATGTATAGTTAAACAGCAAAACTACAAAAATTTTGAAAGCAGTATAGCAGTATACGTTTAGAATTCCCGATGCAGCTTTTAGTGTTGGCATACAATTTTCAGTTCTTTTCATTTCATCACATCAATGTTCAATTTCCTTATTAAGATGGCTGTACAAACCTTATTTATTTGTTTATTTATTTTTGTCTTTTTATTAAAGTTTTGTGTGTTTACTTTGTTTATTAAATAACCCCTTCTCGGCGCTTACGCCACATTAAATTCGATTCAACAGCAAAATCACAAATTATCTAAAAATAGCATATCTTCAGAACTTCTGATAGACTGTCTCACGCGCTGGAAATAAAACGTTTTATTCCGTACAGTGTTGCCACTGCTCGCTTTGAAATAGCTAGTTTGTAGTCAAAATTTCGTTAACGTTTTATAAAATATAAAATAGATAATAAAACAAATACGAAATTCAAAAGTCAGGCTTCCAAGTGCCCATGATCGGGCGGAGGACTAGGTTATTCAAAATTTTATGGCTCTAGGTACTGTTGATTTTTCACAATATGAGAAACATGTATAGATTCATGCAGATTCTTCGTTATTTAATTTCTTTAAACATAATACAGAACAATAATGCTTTGGTGGTAACAATTTGAAAAGTGATCAACAATTGAAACTTTGTAGCTTTGCTATTATTTAATAACACATTATTAACTATAACTATTCTATAAGATAGTCTCACGATCATTTATGCCTAATAGAAGTCGCTTTTATTTAGAATTGTATGTAGTTATGTGGATTAAAATTATTTTTTCAAATATTGTACGACAGAACTATTAATCTAACCTTCTTACCATTGGCCAAAAACTTCCGAGTGATGAAATCCAGAAGTCTCTTACCCCTCATTTCAAATAATATCATTCGGGAGGGTTTTCGATAGGCAGTCTCTCTTTAAAAAAAAAAATATTATATTAAAAATGATCATGTTTTCTTAGTGATTCGAATATGAACTCAACAGCATGGTGAATACGACATACACCCTCTACTAACGACCATATTATTTGCACTATACGTGGAGCATTTAAATAACGACAAAAAACTGAATGTCTTGAATTTCTACTAAATGTCTTTACGGCCCTCAAAATAAATCTCTTTACTAACCTTAAAACTGGATGTCTTTACTGTCCTTAAAATAATTTTTTTCTCTTAACTAAATTGAAGATCTGTAAAAAATTATTTTGTAATTTCAATAGGTTTCTTTAAGAGGTCCCGAAGAACCTGGGGCAATTCAAGTACTTCACAAATGCGGTGCAGTTTTACTTAATAAAAGATGGTTACTCACTGCTGCACACTGCGTGTTTGAGTAAGTATTTTAACCATGTTTTAATTTTAAATGTGTATTGAGAGTAAAAATCACATCACACAAGGTATCTATATGCTGCTGGTTATGTAATATTCTAAATTAAATACAGTTGCACTAGTTTGAGGTTACTACCTTTAATTTAAGACTAGTTTAAGACCACTTCCTTCACATTGTTTCACAAATTTAAGGCAATTGCCTTCACGGTAACAAGCGATGGACTCACTGTCTAACTACATTTCTCAGTGAACGACGCTAGGTATGTCCCGAAATAACGTTTTTAATACCTTGATGCAAGGGCGCGGCAAGCTGTTTCGGTTACAAATAACCTAAGGAGAACTAAGTTCATCTCTTAAGGGATCGGAAAAACTTAGAAGAAAAATCTTTCGTCTCTAAAGTGCCATTCACACTAGGGTTTATATGAGCTAATAAAGGGCCGTTCCCACTGGAGTTTATCTGAGCTAACGGACACAGATGACGTAGCCGACCCATCGCACAAGAAATATCGTAAATTCCCAAAATGACTCTAAAACGCAATTAACTTTTTTGCACTGCTGTCAGATCTTGCTGCGCCTGTGTACACATTTTATTACGTTATTCATCATAAAATGGTTGTATAAGCATATCATTCTCACATTTTTTTTTTTTTTTTTTTTTTTTTTTGTTCTGTTGCCAGAATCCAAAGTTCAATGAAACAACTGCACGTAGAAATATCGTGACTGATGTCACTAGCAACACTGTCTATCTAGAGACCTGAACAAAGCTACTTTAACAATTGACTTCTCTAACTTTCAGGCCTTATTTATAAGGTGTTGCATCGGTTTTGGAAACTTATGGAGAAAATCTTACTACGGCTTCGAAAATGCAATTTTTCAAATATTCAGAAAGTACTAAGTTAGCAAGAATTCGCCAAATGTCGACAAGATCCATCAGGAGCATTTTTGCTCATATTTTGCGATCTAGTTGACTATTTTTACAATTTAAATGTTGTTGGACTCAGAAATGAAAGATGTACAATGCCATATAAAATATAAACTCTCATATGGAAAATATGTGAACACAAATTAAATTACTTACAATATAAACCTTAAAACTATTACCTTAAAATCATAAATTACTTTAAAAAATAAACTAATGACATAATATTACAGCAATGTAATCAAAATGATTTAAGTATTTCCAGAAATTTACAACAACATACAATATATATTATATATATGTAATTAATCTTAGGAGATAATATAATCAATATTATTTAGTAAATAATTATATATATATATATATATATATATGTAATATATTATGTAATAAAATTTTGGAGTAAGATGCAACGGATTGATGATGGTTCTCTGCATTATACCTCGGAGAGATGACACTCGAAGGAAAGACCTGTAGACGGACGTAGCCGAACTAAACACAAACTTTATTGCTGGACAAGAACTAATTATCGAGACTATATTTCTCATTACATATGATCATGAGCGCAATACGCACACCCCAATTTTATATAGAGTATCACATTTTAAATAATGGCCTAGTTAGCAGCACGACAATGCACAGCAAAATGAAACAGCATCCAAGCGCCAACAGAGCTACAAGCTAAATGCGCATTTATACAATATGGCAGTCTGTTAAGAGAAAGTTCTCGGTTTCAATTAGAAAAGTTTCAGTTCTCAAAGTTACGTCATCAACGATGCGCAGGCCATACAAGATAGATTGATGTAGAAGTGACGCAATCCACAGAAGTTATCATGATTTTTAGAACAGAGAGGTAAAATTAAAGCGTTACCGTTAGTTCAAATTATAATTTTCATTTACATATTTTTATATTATATACTAGCAGCTTCGCTGCCAGCCTTCGTCTAGCTTTTAAATGTACTTGGAAAATGGCTGAAGGGAACACCAAACTGTTAAATTTAAAAACTGCGTAGAATTTTACTCTGCAGAACAACTTTATAAAAAAAAAAAAAAAGTTATTACGTATAACAAAATTACAATGAAGTACGCAATATCCCTTAATACAAACGTTAATTATCCTAATAAATAAAGTAACCAACTTCCCTTTGCAAAATCTTAACTCAAATGCTATAAAGGAGGTTAAGAACTTTGTTTCCTAAAAAAATCACTCAAAACTTTTCAATATCTTAAAGACAGTGAAATGACCAATAAATCACATAAAAGAATACAAAAAACAAAAAATTCTCAAAAGCAAAGTGTAATTAATGATAGTTTATCTTATATTATCAAGAGAAAAAAATTACAATGAAATAAGCTATAACCTTAATACAAATATTAATTATCCTAATAAAAAATTAACCAACTTTCCGTTGAAGAAAAAAAATCATGTAAAACTTTTCAATATCTTACAAATTGTGAAATAAGCAAAAAATAACATGAAAAAAACTCAAAAAACAATAAATTCCGCGCAGAATTTTACTCTGCAGAACAAACTTTATCAAAAAAAATCAATAAAAATGTATTATATATATAAAAAATGACAATGAAATATGCCAATCTCTTAAAAACAGTGACATAAGAAATACGATGAAAAATTGTTGCCAAACCCATATTTCTAAAAGAATGAAACTATTCAAAATGATGCGATCTCATCAAAAATCTATAAACAACAAGAAATAAGAGGGAAAATTGTTGCCAAAATCAAACATTTTTAAAGATGTGAGAATGTGAGAAGTGTACTCGGAAGCTTCATTTAAAAATTTTTTAAACATACAAAATATTATCATTTTTCCCAAATTTCTTTTGTAAAAGCAGTCGCAAAGGATGAAAGTTTAACGTGGTCCAAAAATCAAAGAAAAATAAACATGTACATTTTTAAAAATAAACTTTTTAGAAAAAAATCCCGTTGAAAAGGTTTTAAGGTCACTTTGTTAAATAAATTCGTATTTAATCGATTTATTGAAACACGAAATTTATTTTAAGTTCGTAAAATAGCTAAGTGCCTACGTTTCATGGCGATGTAAAAATGGAGTGTATAGAGTAAAATCTCGCTTTCCTATAGCCCATTATGTCTCAAAATGACGCGATCTCGTCACAAAACATAAAATAAAAGAAAATTCGAATTCGAATTTCGAAAAAAAAATCGCCTACTATTAGTTTACTCGCAGCGCGAAAAAGAAAGACACACACATTGACACACAAACAGATTCTTTCTTTTATTATATGTAGAGACATACAGAAAGGGACAAGATCCAAATTTAAGATCTACTTAGATTGTGCACATAAAGGTAATATTTTCGAATCTATCCTACTGTAGCATTGCTTGCAATTAGCTTCTGAAAGGACAGGGCAATGAAACTTAAAATATTTTTCATCATAGGTACAGAAAGTCGTACTTGCCTTTTTTGAAAGCTCGTCTTGGAGAATATGATGTATCCACAAATGCAGGAAATCACCAAGAAATTGGAGTTGAGAGCCTTGTCACGCATCCGCAGTACCAGGAGCCTTATCGCCAAAGCAATGACATTGCCTTACTGAGACTGAAGAAAGATGCCGTTTTTAACGAGAATGTGTGGCCTGCCTGTCTTCCATCTCCAGGCACAGATGTTACAGGAATGAATGCAACTGTAGCTGGATGGGGTCAGACGTCCATGCTACCAAACGGTGAGTCCTAATAACCCACAGCAAAATAAGAATATTAAAGCAATTTTAATTCTTACGATCCTAGAAAAAGCATTGTTATTAACAAAAATCGTACGAACGAGGAGAGAAAGAATATATTAAACCTAATAATCCTTTTTATTAAACACAGTCCTCCTGTTCCTACTGACATTTAAATTTCATCATTTGTTTCCGAAAAGTATGGTTTTGACAGTACCCGCAGCCTATTAAACTCACATGTTAATAAAATGAGCCGCTTATCACGGTCAAATTTTCAGGAACCAAAACAAATACATACTAATCAATAGTAAACCCCTCTTTTATTAAACTCATCTTAGCCGCTTATAAAACTCAGATTGGCAAGAGGCACCCTTCAAAGCTGTTTGTAGTTGATCCGTTTAACTTGTTGACTGTCGTGGCTTATTTATCCTTCAGTTAGTGCTGTAGTGCTAAAAGGTTTAGTAGAAATTCGTCCAGTTTAGATCTACTAACACTCCCTCTATGAAAAGTGTAGGTTCTACCTTTTTCAGAACCTTGTCAGACACTGTTGGCAAAGCTCATTGTTCGGAATGGAACTGAAAGGAACTGAATTTCTTTATCTTAGGTTAACAAAAGCAGTCTTGTAGGGGCATTATAAATGAGTGATTGTTTCTCTGGTTCCTAAGGAAAGGTGGTGAGGTTAGTTTTCCTTCCTTCTCTGTTAGGATATGGAAGTTCAGTCGAAAGTCTTCCCATCGGAATACGCATATTAATTAAGTTTGCAGGAAGTTAACTTGCCAGCACCAGCCTGTTCAGCTATATAATTTGCTATCATTTTAAAAACATTATTGAATCATTATGAAATTGACTGCAAACTCGTGCATGATTTTTGTAATTAATTCTCAAAACATTCAGACCTTTTTATAATAAGTAACACGATAATCAGTTTCGATGGAAATTGTACTTCGTGTCGAAGAACTCCGGTGTTGCAAATCTCTATTAATATGCAGCGGAAAGGTTTTTAGAAAACTTCATGAAATGCTTTCTTGTGTTATTGTATATTATTAGTCTTTGAATAGAAAACAGAGTGATCACTGAAACCCAGAAAGCATTTGCTTGTAACCACGAAGAGAAAGATCGACTTTCTGCTGGATAAAACAGAAATTCTGAATTCGAGCGGATCACTGGGAAAAACAATTTTTAATTTACTGTGGTCGTAACTTGTAATGCTTCGAAAATGCCTAGGCGAAATGATTTGAGCCTGAAAGAAAAAGAAAAAATGTAAATAAAAAGTTTTTTTTTAATCTTCTTCAGAGCTTGTGATGATTTAAGACGTAGCGATAACTCGCTGTTTCGTCTAGTAGGGTCTGCAGAATTTAACTTTAGTTTTCATATACAGTAGCAACCTTGCAACTTTTATAATTACAATTATTTAAATTATTTAATATTTTTAAATAACACCCGGAAATTGCAATGCTTTTAAAGATATCTTTGAATTTTAAATATAGTTTTAAAATTAGAGGCATTTTCATTGTTAATGAATTCAATTTTACGAAAAAAAATAGCGGAATTTACTCCATTGGAAACGATATACACTAGCGAAAAATATCAGCTTTCAAAAATAAGGGTAATATCTAGTTCATTTGATATCCTCAGAAGAGAATGAACTGGAATTACTATTAACAAATTTCAGAAATGATTCGATGAAGTTTTCGGAATTTCAGTAATATTTTTACTGTAATTAAAGCCTTTAATTCAGTTTAAAATTCGGCTAAAGATTTCTATGATGCTTAGGTTAAATCAAATTGCATTTATACCTTTTACGTGGAAAAGGCATACTTTTCAAATTATGATAAATTTGGCAATATTAGTTCACAAGCTGTTGAATTTTAAAGTATTAGTCAGCAAAATTTGGAAATAATTACATATTACGAAAATCAGGCAGAAATTATAAAATGATTTTTTTTCCCAAATTCTGAAATAAAAAATAATAGTACAGATGAAATTAAGAATCAGCTGTAGTACAAAAAAATAAACAAGCAAATAAATAAAATAAAATTATATATAAAAAAATTTCTGAAAGCTTTCAGATTTTTAACGGTAACCTAAAAGGGTTTGTTAAGGTTGGTTTTGTACGCTCTCGCTGAGCTCACGGTCTGCCAGTCTGCTTTTAAATCATTCCATACAATTCAACAGTAAAATAAATTACAAAAATTTTAAAAGTAGCATAGTAGATAAGTTTAGAATTCCCAACGCAGCGTTAAGTGTTGGCAGTTGGCATACACTTTTCTTTTCCTTTCTCCCCCCCCCTTCTCAGTTTGTCATATCAGTGTTCAGTTTTCTAACTAAGATGACTTTACGAACTTTTTTTTTTTTTTTTTTGTCTTTTTATTGTTAACCTTTTTTGCGTTTACTTTATTTATTAAATATTCCGTTCTTGGCACTCTCTCCATATGAAATTCGATTCAGCAAAAAAAAAAAAAAAAAAAAAAAATCACAAAATATTTAAAATCAGCATATCTTTAGAATTTTTGATAGACAGTCTCACGCCCTGAAAATAAAAGTGTTTTTTTCCGTACAGTGTTGCCACTTCTCGATCAAAAATGCGTTAAAGTTTTAAAAAACATGAATTAAGTAAAACAAATTCGAAATTCAAAATTCGGGATTCCAGGTATCCCTGTTCAAGTGGAGGACTACGCTATTGAAAATTTGGTGGTTCTAGGTGTCGTTGTTTTTTTCATACTGTGAAGAACATGCGTGCATACATTCATGGAGATTCTTCATTATTTAATTTGATTAAATATTTTACAGGGGGATAATATTTAGTGGCAGCCATTTGAAAAATGATACGCCGTTTATATTGTTTCAAAGTAAAATGCCGTTTAGGGGCTAATATCTCTTTTGGGACTAACCTCCCTTTTGGGGTAAAAAGGTATTATAAAATAAAAATGATAATCACACTTGTTTTATTATTCTCAGGCTATAAAAAGAGCGTCTTGCAGAAAGTGAAAGTTCCCGTGTTATCCAATGGAGTCTGCTTAAAAATGTTTGGAGAAGCAGGACATAGCTATCCACTTGAAGAAAATCAACTGTGTGCAGGATACAGGGAAGGAGGAAAAGATTCCTGTCAAGTATGCCCATTTTTGTCTAAACTCTACTCATCTATATTAAGAGGCTCAACTTCCTTACCAAAATAAATGTGACAATTGTCATAACTATTGTTAATATGAATTAAACCAATGATATTGTTTCCATAAGGAACAAAAACATATTTACTAAAGTAAAAAGTTCGTTTTGTAAAAGCACAAAAACAAAGAAACATATGGTTGAGTATACATCTTTTTACATTTCATCTTTACAAACAACCAAGAAAATTAGGTGATATTTGCATTCTAAATCGAGGAAACTACAGAAACATCCGTACAGCTTATTAGTACCGCATCCAGCAGAAGATTTTGAGTTTGAATGATCATTATTCGGTGATTTTATCTAGTATGTTGCTGACTGTTGCAAACTACAATTTAATTTTAACGTTTAAAATATTCAATTGTAGATAACGTATTTCGCGAAAGTTTATGCAAAATGCTCTTAAATAATAAAAAAACAACAGTTAATATTTTTAAAAAGCTGAACAGAAGTTTATTTTATATAACGAGTCGTTAGCAGTTTTTTCTTAAGCAGTAATAAGTAATTTAAACAGAAAAAAAAAAAAAAAAGAATTGTGCCGAGATATTAATTAAAAACTCTGAAAACGCTATATTGTCAACAAAAAATCATTTACGCATTAGTTGTTGCGGATTGCGCGAGATATTAATTATTGATTGCTGCGGGTTGTTGCGAGATGTTAAAAACTCTGAAACGCTAATTTGGCAACAAAAAAATTATTTAGGTATTGGCTGTTGCGGGTTGAGCGAAATATGAATTTTTTATTTTTGCCGGTTGTTGCGAGATATTAATTAAAATCCTGAAAACGCTAATTTGGCAAAAAAAATTTGCATTTACGAATTGGTTGTTTGTTTGAAAAGCTCCCTAGTTTCTTTATAATGATGGAAATTTGCAATTTAGAGGTTTGAAGTCATTTATGAAAAGACATGCATTTGTAATTAGTTGTAAGAATTTATAAAATAAAATGGAATTATTTAGGAATTGACTGTTGCGGGTTGAGCGAAATATTAATTTTTTATTGTTGCGGGTTCTTGCGAAATATTAATTAAAATCCTGAAAACGCTAATTTGGCAACAAAAAAATGTATTTACGAATTGGTTGTTTGTTTGAAAAGTTCGCTAGTTTCTTTATAATGAAAGAAATTTGCAATTTAGAGGTTTGAAGTCATTTATGAAAAGACATGCATTTGTAATTAGTTGTAAGAATTTATAAAATAAAATGGTATCTCCATTTCAACTGTAGGACTAGCAAATGCTACAAAAGAGAATACATTATGTTGGAATATATTGTTTTAGGAAATTATTGTATTAATTTATATTTTTCTCTAATTACTCCTAATTTTAAACTCTAAAATTTTAAATTTTAGGGAGATTCTGGTGGACCGTTATTTGTGACGCAGAACAACCAGTTTACAGTCATTGGAATCGTATCTGCTGGAATACAGTGTGGAAGTCCTTTACTCCCTGGCATCTATACGAGGGTGCTTTCTCATTTAGAATGGATAGCTAATAAGATAAACAGTTAAAAACTTAAAGAAATAAGCTGGAATCAAAATTTAGTGAATACTTTCATGAAACCAGTAACCAATTCGCTGAACCTTTGTATCTTCCAGCAACGTTGGAATATATGCTTTTTAAGTAGTTGAGTCATACAGAAATGTAGTACTACTACATGAGGGAGTGCAATGAAAATACCTTACTGGAGAAAATTTTTTTCTTTTCCTGTTGAGATTGATATTATGTTTTCTTGTGTCAAAATTGATATTTGTAGACGAAAAAGAATTTTTTTTTTTTTTTTTTTTTTTAACTTTTTATACTTGGGCAGAATTTGTGATGTTCAAAACTTTAGTCCAAGAATATTAGAATCAATGCACTAGCAGTCAAACCAAATTGAGTTGTCTGCTTATAAAGACAACGTGTAAGTCTGACTTTGAGATATTGAAAAGTTTAGACATTAATGAAGGAATAACTGAAATACTGAGAATGATTTATATTAAATCAAGATGTAAGTCTTAAAGAGTATGGACTTTTTAATACCGATTACCTTTTTTAAATCTCATTATGTTGGAAGACTGCAATTGAGAAAAATGGACAGTGTATATTTTTGACTGGTTCGACATACCAAATGATGCGAAACTCTCTTTGTTGGTCATCAAATATTTTTTATTTTGTTACAAATCATCACAACACTAATTGCTATGCTATGCAGAGTATTGGACTATCTCAAAGAAGTTGCATATTTAGACGGCAGAATATCTAGATCAGAGATGACCAACTTCTGCAGTTACGAAGACCATTTGAAGATGTGTGTTGGCGTCAGTGGTGACGGAATGCTTTTGCTGCAAGAGCATGTTCTGGAGTAAATAATATGGCTTATTTGAAGGCACTAGTAATAGGCAATTAAAATTATTTTTATTAATAGAATTGTAGATCGAAGAACATAGATGCAAAATGTTAAAATGCATAAAATAAGGATCTTAAAATCCATTTCGAGTAATTTTTTTCCTAAAATATTTACGTCAAATTTTAAGGTTTCAAAGTCATACAGGAGGTTAACGAAAACTCTGCGGTTTCACATAAGGAACAAACTAGTTAATTAAAATCACTTTTAGTAATATTCTTGAAATTTTTACAAGAGTTTTAAAAATGATCTGAGGATATAAAATTCTTCAATTAATGACAGAAGCACTAATAAATTTCGGTAAATTTGTTGTGAGCTAAAAATAAGACCTCAGTAGTTCTAGTTGGTCTTCTCTGATTTATATTCTTAAAAAAGCGAATTCTTCTCACAACTGCAAGTGATTATATTTTTTTAACCTTAGATAAATTTCAGTTACCTAATAGTCAGAAAAATAGAACACGAAAAAAAAATTTTTTTTTGAAAAAGATAAACTTCGAACACAGTTGTATATTTCTCTGCATACAGTTTAAAAGTTATTCATTTGTTAAGTTTGTTACTTTTAAAAAATTGTTTTATTCGTGTTTTTGTCATTCTAGTCAGAGCTAGTCCTGATTTTAGTCATTATTTCATCTATTGTACATAATATGTTTTAAATAGTGAAATGAAGAAACCATTTGTTTCGTAACCACGGCTGATTTTAAAAGCAAGTACACATTTCATTGTTATATATATATATTCTTTTTAAAGCTCTAGTCAAATAATTACATGCATGTATTGTTTCATATGTCATTTTTTATGTTTGAAATAAAAACATCGTTATTTTCCTACACGTGTTGCATATTTTTATTTATCTGCTGCTGTAAACTTGTGCAAGTTGTGCAAGGATGATTCTTGCCTCATAGCTTCTGTATATGAAAACAAACATTGCTTAGCAGTTGTCAATAATATGAAACGGAGAGTTCAGGTGCAGGATCTCAAACTCACAGTCATTTTTTCTTCGTACAGCTTCATCGCTTAGGCGACTAGGAAGCAAAATGTCCATAGCCAGGTGCACTTTTTTTTTTCAGCTGAAAGAGCATTCCTTTAGCGTCTTTTAATCCTTCACTCTGAGTCGTCTTTTTAACTTTTCCTTTGTAGACACAAGTGTTTTCGAAGGCAGCATTTGAAACTTTAGACCATAACACAACACACACGGTTCACAGTTCAACATAATTGTAAATTTTATCCCCAAATTTTATCCCAACTGTCTTTTTCACTTAATCTATGAGAATTTTTTAAGTTTATTCTCCTATGTGTCTAGCCAGCCAGAACTAGCAGTAAATCCATGATTTCCTTCATGAATGTCCAGAGAGAGTTTGAGGACTTTCTCTTCCAAAATGGGTCTTGAAATGAGCATTCCTTTTTCCTGTTCTACCTAAACCACGAATAAAGCTCCTCATACACATTCTCGTATTTGCCATCTTTCACACTTCTCTTTTCCTTTAAACTATCAGTACAAGCTCTTTTCGCATACCAAGACTCGATTTCGAACTTCGTTTCACACCGTCTTGCTCGTCAACACCTAAATCCGTGGCAGTTTTATTAACATCTGTCCCTTTTCCCCAATCCCTTTAAGACCTCCAGTTTAATTTATATTGTTAAATATTTCATTAAATTTGATTTGACAGATTAAACAAACATTATGAATATTTATATTGTTAATATTGATTTGTAAGTTAATTTGTTTTCTTTTTTCTCGTTCGACATTCTTACTTGCACAAACAACACAACTTTTTAAGTCGAGATGTAGACCGACAAACTACGCTCAGAAGGAACTGAAAGTTTAGATTACAGCAGAATGCAGCCATAAAACTTCAGGCAATCTTACTGTCGGTTGGTAATACAAAGAAATATGTGTGGTGACTGACAGCTGCTACATAACTTCCTTCAGCCACTTTCACTAAAATGAAGAATGAAGTAGAATGGAACTTTTACAAAAAGGATAAAATGTCACTAAATTGTCAGTTCCAGAAATCAGTGTAACAAAGGGAAAGGCACAAAAATTTTAAAAGTGTTTTACCATAACAAATTTTTAAACAGACCAAGGTAATTTTCGGAATGCATAAAAACGAAGAGTAATTATTATAGCATAGTAAGGGTCATCGGAAATTCGGGAAATTTCCTGAAGAGCCGGTGGCCGTGGTGAAGTCTGTCTCTTGATATTAGACGGTTAAAAAAAAGGATGAAACATAAATCACAATCGCAAGATTCATGTAGCATAAAGGAATAAACACACAGAAAAAAAAATTAATGACACTTAACCTTAAAACAAAAAGTAATTTTAAACGTACTATACTCAAACCATCGCGTCAACACCGTCATTAACTTGTTTCAAATTCATAATTGTTGGATATAATTCTTTACTAGACTGCTTAAAAGCAGACGACATCATATTGATATCGACAGTTTTATGCAAGTCGGTAACTGTTTGCCAGGTCAGAGACTCTCGCATAGGTATCCTGGCATCTTGATGAAGGTTTCTTTTCCAAACTATTAAATGAACTTCACAAGGTTGTATGCATCTTTATGCCTGGCACACTAATATCTTCGGAATCAACGATCAACTTGCATAAAGGTACTGATACTTTTATTATGGGATGTCGTTATAAACTATCATCATCTGAATAGATTGGGCTAATTAGCATTTAGAGTCATCCAAAAGAGACTGAAGTTAAAATATGGAAAATATATCTCTGATTTGCAAATAAGAAAATTCATATAATCTGTATAACAATAGCTGAACTCGTATGATAGCGTTTTGATTATGAACTAATATTAAAAGCTTTAGTTTTAAGACGCAAATTTTAGAGAGAGATTTTGTTAATATTATATATTTTCCAGTTATTTCTAAACTTAAGAAACGGACTAAAATTGCTCCTTAAATTTTAAATCTTTGATTCTGGAGCAGACTGTAAGATATGAATATAATTTTGTTTAGAGATACAAGGTAACCAAAAATGTTCTTGCTAATATTGATCGTCAGAAACAGATAGACATACAACGCAGGTTAGTCAGCCTTAGCTCTCGAATCCATCTCTATCAGCATTTAACACCTTTTGCTACTGTTCCTGCAGCTATTCAATGGTCTGGCGGTAAAACTTAGGGTCTTGAAAGAAGATATAAGTTTGTGAATGAGTGCTGCAGACCTGCATTATTGTCGGATTTCCCATGCGGGTGGTTATTCAGGAAATTAAGCAGGTAATGTTTTGTTAGGGCTAGGTCTAATGAGTACATCTCCCACCCAAGCCGCTGAATGGTATCCCAGGTCGTTCTTGCCATGTCTTGCATTGTCGTGGAAGTACAACTCACCTTTGTGATTAATTTTGCATGGTACATCCGCTTCAACTTCTGCTAGTTCAATTCCTCAGTGATGGTGTAACCTGGTGGCAATAGCTCGTGATGCACCATTTGGCGACTAGACGTTCAACATGATCTTGCATGGGTCTAGAACTAGACTTGAGGTGAGAACCACAGAGTCAACCAATATTTGGTATGTTTGGGAGTGTCATGCCAGACCTATGCTTCGTCGTTCGATCAAGTGTCGATGTGTTGCGATGCCGAAACAGCAACGACAAACAGGTAGCTGTCACTCCTTTTTCTCTTGACTACCGACAATATGAAAGCGTCGCCTTTGCGATTAAGCTTGCATGTTTCACCTGTTGCAACTGCTGTGAGTTCAGATCCTCAGTAATGGTGTAACTTAGATGTAGTCGATCGTAATACACCACTTGGCGACTAGTCCACCAGCTATTCAGTATGATCTTGCATAGATGTAGAAGTTGAAATGTGAGGCATAAGGTGAAGTGGAAACAACCAATGTTTGATACGTTTGGGGAATGCTAATATACTGCTTTTCCTATACACAGCAGACTGAATCAATTTAAGTGCTATAATTATGGAACTAAAAATAAATGAATAAATAAACTAAAAATTGTTCATCTAATCATACACAAAAATTTTGAACCTCTCGATTTTCTGTCAGTCGTATGTGACCATACAATAAGCTTTTGTGGAAATGCAAAGATAAATATCACTAAGTTCAATATTCCCTTTAATTTTTCTTAAAACAGAAATATATTCTCAGTGCAATACTATGTCTGTTCGGTACGTATGTATAGATGCATGGTTGGTTACAATGCTCAGGTTATCAAAGATGTTTTATGGTGACATGATTTAAGTTGTTAACGAGCTGTTGCTGTTTAAGTGCCTTTCTTTTAAATTACGTTCGTAAATTTAAATAATCATACATTAAATTTAGGGGAAAACTGACTTGAAATACTAAAATTGTCTGTTCATTTCCCTTTTAAATAAGTTATCTAAAAACTAAGGGAGGAATAACGTAAGAAATTTGTAAAAGATTTAGTTATTCAGCAACACAGAAACTCGAACAAGAAATGCCAAACGTATTCAAGAATTATAATTTAACTTTCATTGACGACAAAATTTTTGCTAAAATTAGAAGATATCTATAAGATTTGATCAAGTTCTTTAAGCTAGGAAAATGTACCTCCAGTTTCAGTTTCAAATTTTAAATTTCTTAAAATAAGGCAGTGAATTTCATAAAGTTATTTCCAAAGTTGAGAAGAGGGTTCTGAAAATTTTCTTCGCATAAGTTACCTGTAGAATAAAATGTTTTTAGTACAATATTCATTATGCTTTAAAAAGTTAAATATGAAAGTTTTAGGCATTTTTATATTTAAAATTCGAGAAGATATCCGTAATAGTTCCACAGGGTGTTCTGGAATGTTAAAAATGAGCTCTTATTTTCCCCCGATAGGGATTCACTAATCGTCAAAGAGGCAACTTGTTTTTCGGTTTCTTCCTAAATGTGGTCAAAACTTTAAAAGGCACTGAAAAGTGATCTGAAATAGTAAATAAACATATTCACAAATAAATACAAACAATTTTGCACATAAAAGTAGGAAATGTTCTGTATTTATTATTATTTCTGTAGCTCTGTATTGCGTAAAGCACAATGAATATTTCGCTAACTGGATTTTTTTTATTCACCTGTGTGCATGTGAATAATTAAATTTTGTGTTTGCAGAAATTTTTCATAAAATCATGTATACCATAATCGAAAATACTTATTTGGGATCGATACTGTAAATCCTGTAACTACCATGTCGAGCAACATATATATATATATATATATATAGCTCTCATTTACAATCGTAAAATATGTCGTCATCTCTACACAGAGAGAATGACAGGATTCTAATAAATTAGAGGATTCGATCTTTTTGTTGCAGCAGTCGTCGTCACAATTATGAATCATGGTTGGGGGGGGGAGAATAGCCTTGAATTGCCTATTTTAAAGTAACAGTCTATAGTGGCTGGATATATAAAACTTTGAAATACTGTAAGATTTAATCCACGTACGAACTGGGCTTATTGTAGAGCTTTTTGAGCCAGCTTCTCTCTGCAGATGCTCTACGAAAGTGTGCCTGACCGTAAGTCTAATAACCCTCAGATACCTTCCTGTAATAAAGTATTTTAATCTGATGATAAAATACACTAGCATCTGGCCTCTAGAGAATATTTTGTACTGCAGTTGCACAGCTCTGAATTTTATAGTCATGATTGTGCTAATTTGATTATTCAATGAATATAAGTAAGCACAGACCTCGTGCAACACCTAGAAGAAAAAATAAAAATGTAAAATATTCTATTAAATCATTCACTAGAATAACACTATAAAAATTTAGCACAAAGACATCCTTTCCCATTTATGTTAAAGAATGTCCTAAAATTAGCGGCATATTTTGCCATATTCCGGT